CCCCCCCCCCGTACTATAGAAGTCTATGGCTACCAGTTTGGTTACTAACATTCTTCAAAAAAAAATCTTTTGTGTTCAAGAGAAGAAAAAAATTCATACAGGTTTAGAACAATTTGAGGGTGAGTAAATGATGACAGGATTTTCATTTTTAGGTGAACTTTCCTTTAATGGATCAGTCAAAACGACTCCCGAATCTGAATGGCTTTTGGTAGCATTTGAGACTTTGCTGAGAGTGTTAGCAGACATTACATCATCTTTTGAAGATACATATTTGCTGTTTTTGAAAAAGGTTTTAATTAATAAAAAAAAGTACAATATTTAAATGTTAATGTTGTTTTGTTTAGTATGTAATTAGAGCCAATTATTGGCGGGTGGGTTCATTCTGTAGGAAGCGTGGCATCAATCACTTCTCTGAATTAGATTCAGTGTTATTGTGGTTATTTAGTAAAATGGCTTGATTAATGGTGTGATGCGATTTTGTGTTTCTCAGTTTGTTGAATGTGCCGCACACACAGTGACTCTTCAGAAGGTGGGCTGAGGTGTGTGTGCACTGGAGTCTTGATTGGGCTATTGCCTCGTTTCATAAGCCATGATTGCAGATGACATTTAACAGGAGATGTCAGATTAATCCAGAGAGAGGCCGGCTTGATTGGCATGTGACTGAGGAAGACCATGCACACACACACACACACAGACAGTCACATTTCCTGAAAATATCTAAAAGTTTGGCTGTACAATGTGTGTAAAATGTCATTTTTGTTTCAGTTAAAGTTTTTTTTGTGTGTGTGCTGCTTTATTTTTTCCCAACAGAAGTTGAATGCATTGCTAATGCCTTTTCATGTTATTTTTACAAATAATTTAAGATTTATTTTATTATCATGAAGGTGTTTTTTATTTTATTATCTATTGCCAGTTTGATTTGTTTTACTAAGATTTTTTATCTAAAAATAACTAAATTTTTGTACTTTTATGCAATCATTTACTGATTTTCCTAACATGAGATTTTATCTTTTGCGAAACGTTTTTGTTTTGTTTTTGTCTTTGTTTACATTTTGCGCAATCATTTACACAATAGCTGCATAATATAGTAGCAAGTATCTTGTTTGTTACTACTAGCTCACTTTATGTAGCTTTAATTTCTGATAATCACCTTCTTTTTGAATCATTAGCCAGCATATCCCTGGTAAACATTGCAAGGGTAATGAAAGTTGCAAGTATGGAGTGTAGCTTTATTTAATCGATCCAAGTGGCTGCTCAAAATGGACTCACTCACAGATTCGTATGTTCGTTACATTTTGGATTTGATCGAAAGTGGTGATGTATCGTTGGTCGAGTTGTTTACTTTGTAATTAGTTGATTCTTCCACCAGTGCAATCTGTTCTGGCCGATTCGAGGACCAGTTTCGGTAGGTGGGCATTATAGCATCGATCAGCCAGTCATAGTGTTCAAGAGCCACCTGATGAGTTTCAATGGATCGACAGGTTTAACGGTTTCAGATTATGTCAGTAACAATCATTATAATCAGCACTGTCAAAAACAACTTTCCAACATTTTTATTTCTCATTCACACACGGAAGCCTCATTGGTGTGTTCATGTAGTGATGTGCTCTTCAAGACTCAAATGTGCTCATCTTCTTAATATGTATTATTCCTACCCACAATGCCCTGCTCTCTCCCCATGCTTCCTTCCGCCTCCTTGATTGGGCGCTGATTATGATTGCTCTTGATTGTGCTGAAGAAGGTCTGTTGATGTTGTTTTCATTGGTAACCTGTATCATCCTGAGAGAGAGTTTTGAACGTGTGCAGGAAGTGTGATGGCTCTTTGCGTGTGTGTAAATAAAGTGTTTGATATGTCACCACCCTGAGCCTGCAAGTAAAGAACAGTGAAGAGCTCTCCACTGAGGCTTTGTTCACACTGCAAACAGTTCAGATTTGTTTTTCAAATGTCCCCACATTAAATAGGTATTGCTCTTGTGTAGAGTAAAACTTGATTGCAAGCCATAGGGTTGTTTGTTTTGTGAGCTAATTGTTCTTTCGAGACTTTTTGAGTTCTTTTTAGTGAGTCAGATGAACTGGTTCTGAATCAAATTAAATTCTACACTAGGCTTGCTGCGACAGACGGTGTTTTCGGTTATACCGGTATTAAGCCGCAACACCGGTTACGTCATTTGCCTACCGCGGCACCGCCCCCCACCGTCATTTTGATTTTTTTATAGAAACAAAAATCATTTAGCCTAGTTCAGTTAGAGGACAGACACTTTTAAAAACTAAACGCTCAATGCAGCGTGCCGAACCGTGCGCGAACGACAGTGCACCACGGAGCAGGAGTCAGATTTTATTTATCACGTGAGGAGAGTGAGTAGAGCTGACTGACAAGAGTGAGGCGAGAAAGACAAGACGATGGCAGAAGATTGTTTAGAAAGGAAATGCAAAGGCGCCTGTTTGGCAATATTTTAGATTTTGAAAAGCCTATTGACTGGAAGTTTTTTTGAACATTCGTTTCTTATTTATTTGGTTCCACAGTGTTTGCTGATTACTTTATTTAAACGTTGTGTATTTTATTTATTTTATTTTACATCAAGGTGTATATGCCGTGCCTACAAGCTTTCTTATTCGTTTTGCTAATAAATGTTCTATGTTTCTTAATTTATTTGGTTCCACAGTGTTTGCTGATTTTCAGTTTTATATACCTATTTAAATTGTGTAGCCTAAGTAATTTGTTATTTTATTAGGCATATATGGTGTATTTTTATTCGTTTTGTTAAAAGTTATGAGTTTGACATTGTTGCTTGAATTGAATTAAAGCCGAATTGCCGCTAATTTGAAAGTGAAAGTAAAACACGCACGGCACTTTTTCAAGCTATTTGAAAGCCAAGAAATCGGAGGGAAAACTCAAACGAACAATTGCTTGATGCCGAATTGCGGCAATTCAATTGCCGCTAATTTGAAAGTGAAAGTTAAATGTGCACGGCACTTTTACAAGCCATTTGAAAGCTAAGAAAAGAGGGAAACTCAAACGAACAAACACCCCCCTCCCACCCTAATGGTGATACCGGTATTACCGGTGTTATCACACGTCAGTTAACCGGTGGGAAAATTTCCTCACTGTCACAACCCTATTCTACACATCTTTATCCAGTAACTGAATAGGTCATGCAGGAAATGCATTGATTTAAAATGATGGGAACCCTTTAATTTGTTTTTTTTTTTCGATTTGTGCTTTTATATTAACCTGAATAATTTTGTAAAACAGTTTTATTTCAACTTTTAAAAAAATAATATTGAATAAAAATATTTTAAAATTTTTTTTGATAAAGCCTTCAAGTTTTTACATATCTTTTTTTAATTTAGTACATTAATAAATAAGTATTTATTTTTTTAAATAAAGGAATTCAGCAGCACTTTAGGTTTTGTTGTGGTATTGAAATCTGTTTCAAGAATCATAAAAATTCAATAGGATTGGATTCAGCTACTAATATTTTGGCGTTATTATGGTCATTTCACAATAGACATGTGCTCTTCCTCTATACAGATATTTAAGAGAATACCTTCTTTCTCTCCTTTTCTCTCTTCAGGTCCAGCAAAACCATGAATCTTTGCTCTAAATGTTTTGCTGGTAAGTTACTTACATCACATGGTCTACAGTATATAATCACGATTATACGTGAATCCGTGTGTCTGAACTGTGCTTGAGAGACACTCATGCTCTGTCTGTTCTCTCCAACAGACATACAGAAGAAACAGCCAGACGAGGACTGCACTCCAGAGGCCGCCCCCAGCTCAAGCAATAGCCAATCAGCAGTCTTCTGTAACGAGACGAGCAGCAGCAGTAGCCAAACCCTGTCCTCCAAGCCAGCCAGCTCTGAAGAACCCTCGACAGAAGCCACGCCTCTTCCTGCACAGGACGGTGAGGACACACAAATTCTGTCTTCAAATAACTGAGATGATATTTCTCAGATAGTCTCAGATGGGCCCTAATCGTTTTAATATCACACAGCAGTCATAGAGAATGATAGACCTCTGCAAGATACTACTGCAGTAATGCATTACATTATAATGTGTTTGTTTATTAGCTTTTAGGAATGTGAAATGGCCAAATCTGAGTTGAAGACAACCAGAAAGTCTGAATTCTTAGAGATCTAGACCAGTGGTTTTCAAATGGTGGGTTGCAGGGAAAAACACTTCTAAATAGCAACGCCAAGGTCATGGGTTTGATTTCCAGGGAACGCATGAACTGTTAAATGCAGTGTACATCGCTTCGGATAAGTGCGTCTGCCAAATGCATAAATCTAAATCTTATATCATTCTCTCTCTCCCAGAAGTCTCCAGTACAGACACAGCTCGTGGCACGCTATCCACTCCTACAAAACGACCCTGCGACTCAGGTACACCTCACCACTGTTCTTGTGTATGTGTGTGTGTGGCAGCTTTTAATGATCGTCTAGCACATCACACCACTGAGGAACTGAGTTGTAAATATACTTTTTTTTTTGTGAATCAATGCAGAAATGTATCATTACTTTACACATTCTTTCCACCTCTCCATCCACAAAAAGAAAAGCTCTAAAACCACCGAAAGCTCTGGTTTAGACTGACTAACCAAGGTCAGAGAGAGCCAAATCAATAGAGTTGAATCTTTGGTCAAACCATGGCACTGTCTAGTGTATTTGCAAACTTTCTTCTGCCTCCGACATCCCTCTGCAGTGGCTCCACGTTATACCTGCTTCCTAGGACCGGGTGGTATGGCGATATATATTGATACACATCTGAAGCATGCACAGAAAGCCGCCTCTCAGACAGCATGTGATCACAAATTTAGTTCTCTTTTGCAGCTTATTGTGTTTACATGGTCAAATACACACAAAATGATGGCAAAATGCCCATCTTGGTCAGTATTCACATAAACAGGCTGGTTATGACACAATTTGATGTGTATCAGTATATTACATCTGTGCATTAGGTCTTAAAGGGACAGCAGCCTAATTTACCTGCTGCTGTCTGTGTCATTAATGTTAATCAAACAACAAAAGAAAAAGAGTATAACTCACTGCTCTTGACTTAATAGCTCCTGTAACTTTAATAAGAATCAGTATGTATTTAATTCATACAGTGAAGACTATGCATTGTTTTATTTTTATGTTTAATTAATCAATTTGTGTATTATTTATTACTTAAAGTGATAGTTCACCTACAAATGAAAATTCTGTCATCATTTACTCACCCACAAGTTCTTCCATACATCTTTATCTTTATTCAGTTGTGCAAAAAATAAAAAATATTAAATGGTAACCAAACAGTTGACAGAAGTCATTGACTTCCCTAGTATAGAAAAAATACTATGGAAGTTGATGTCTACCATCAACTGTTTGGTTACCAACATTTTTTAAATATCTTCTTTTGTGTTCAACAGAAGAAAGAAACTCATATAGGTTTGGAACAAGTGGAGGATGAGTAAATCACGGCAGAATTTAAATTTTTGGGTGAACTACCCTTTCAATTCTACTATTGATGAACAGCGATGCACTTGCAACTGTGTAAGCATTGAAAAGTGTGTGTTTGTGTGTTCAGCCTCAGGTTCAGAGAGCGAGTCTTCTCCGGAGAAGCGTGTTCGTGTCGGTGAGGCCTCATGTTCTGAAGATTCTCCACGAGTTCCCAAGCAAAAGAACCGTCGGCGGTGCCATCGCTGCCAAACCAAACTGGAGCTCGTACAACAGGAGCTGGGGTCCTGTCGCTGTGGTTAGTATGGCCGTCATCTTATGGCGTGTCGTCTGTGAGATGATGTGACAAAACTGTAATGCTTCCTGATTCGCATGCGTGAAGTCTGGACAGCTTTGTTGATGGCAACGAAAGTTTTCGAGTTTTGTCGCATCACATCACTAGTTCTGAGATGCGTAGAATGATATAAATGATGGGCTTTCCAATTCTGCCGATTCCATGTGGGCTTGTTCATTCCTCACCTGACTGTTTGCAATTTCAGTGAGAACTTTTCGATCCCTACAGAACTAAAGGAGTGTATTTAACCCCCCTCGATCATTTAAATTTGAGACACTAACTGTAGGTAATGAAATAAAGGGAGCATTTAAACAAGATTGCACCATTAAGATCAGTCCTCCTGGATGTGCTAGTTATTTTTTGTCTTGTTTTGTTAAACTGAAGGTGGTATTGTAAGTCATCAGTCTAATGACAGTTCCCACTGTTCTGCTAATACACTTATGGATCTGAATGTTCCCGTGACAGCTCGCATCTGAGTCATTATTCCGCCGGGGTTTATCTCAGACAGGACTCCTGGAGTTATTTGACACCAAAAACTAGGGTTAGGAAATCTGTTTGGATGAACAGTAACGTATAATAAACTGCGGTCCAGTGAGCAAGTAATGGATTTTAAAGGAATTGTTCAAACTAAGGATGCACCAAAATGAAAATTCTGGGCCGAAACGGAAACCGAAAATTCTGAATGCACTTTGCCGAAAACCGAGACCGAAAATGCTTTTTAATAAATATTTTTTATTTTATTAAATTATATAAAATAATTTTGTAAGACTTTTTAATTTAACCCAATAATTTGAATGATACTGAATAAAAAAAAAATACAAGCCAATAAAATAATCACACTTTTACTGAAAAAAAATTGGGCAGAAAATATATTAATATTAAATATCAGTATATTATTTTTCTTCAGTTCTATGCAACAGAATCAGATTTAACTGAATTTTTTTTGTTTAATTATCCAAATAATTTATAGTCCTACAAAACTATTTTTATCAGAGCATGTGAGCAGAGCATAGCGTCACGAGAGGGCAGCGTCATTTTACCAGCGCTGCCCAGTACAACTGTACTTCACCATGTTACAACACAGTAGTGTTGTATTGCAAACAGGAACTAGGCTTGCCGCGATAGACGGTGTTGACGGTGATACCGTTGTTAAGCCGCAACACCGGTTACATCACTTGCCCACCACGGCACCGACCCCCACCGTCGTTTTGATTTTTTTATAGTAATAAAAATAATTTAGTTCAGTAAAAGAACAGGCACTGCAATTAAAAACTGAATGCAGTTGGTCAATGCAGCGTGCCGAACGACAGTCGCATCACAGATCAGATTTCATTTATCCAGTGAGGAGAGTGAGTCGAGCTGACTGACAAGAAGAGTGAGATGAGACAGACAAGACGATGGCGGATGATTTAGTTTCGAAACGAAATGCAAAAGCGCCTGTTTGGCAGTATTTTGGATTTTGAAAAGCCTGTTGACTTTTGCCGTTTATCTAAGGTGATTTTGGAAGTTTTTTTT